GTTGTGGGTGGGACCCGCCATTCTCTCCCACCGGTGACCTCAGGGGCAGTTGTGCAGGAGACCGGGCGCCTCGCTGGACCTCTCTGCCACCTCCTGCCTCATGCTGGGTAGCTGGATCCAGAGGTCCCCTTCCATAAGGGCTGCTTAGGGAGACTGAGTCCCGTGGGTGGCCTTGCGGGACGGGTTGGTGGTGTCCTCCTGGGAGCACAGTGACCCTGGGTGGTGCGGGTCGACCCGGAGAGCTGCCCTCCTGGCACAGCTCTGCAGCCTGGGCACCCTGCAGCTCTGGGTCCTGGCGCCCTGCCCCTTGCTGTGCACCTGGGTCTGCCTGCTCTGTGGGCGCTGAGGTCTGGGGTGGGCAGGACAGGTGGGGCCCGTCCTGGAGGGCTCGGCCTGGTCAGGGAGAGGGACGCTGGCCGGGGAGGGGCCGACGGCTCCTGTCCTGGCTCCTCAGCCTCTGACTGTGGGTGACCCCAGACTGGTCCCTCATTCCTGAATGGAAGTCCAGGCCCGCCTTCGGAGCTGAGGCCCCCAGAGATCTCGGCCCAGCATCTGGAAGGGCTGTACCTGGCCGCTGTTAACACATGGAAACGGTTCGTCACGGGAGGGAGGCAGGTGCTCTGTCCTGTCCCCACAGATGCCGGGCGGCTCTCACACCCAGGCGTACCGTCTGCTCCTGCCCAGGCTTCCTGTCGTGGGACGCAACCCCGTGCTCCCTTGTGGCCGTCCCAGCCCAGCCCAGAGATGACCTTGGGGGACGCCCCCACCTGGTCTGTCCTCTCCCTGTGCTCGACCATGGACTCCCGTGGGTGGGTCAGGCTGGACCTGCTCCTCCGGTTGGCCGAGCGCACCCACTGCCTGCTCTGTGTCCAGTGAGAGTGGCCAGGTGGAGGCCAAAAGGCTGGAGCCTCCAGTCAGGCCCCGGCTCGGGCTAGGGTCACCACACAGGTCCGGCTTTGGCGTTGGTGTTGGCAGTCCCCGCAGCGGCCTCTCCCTGTCTCGGGCCCCCTCAGGCGTGTGCAGGGCCCGAGTCGCCAGGTGAGGAGTGCCCCTCGCCCCGGAGGGAGACTGCAGGGTGCCTTGGTGGCCGGCTGGCAGCTCCACACAGGGGCAGTTCTGTGCTCTGCCGTGGGCTCCACCCTGGAGGCCAGGAGGGCGGTCCCCAGACTAGGGGCTTGCTCCCTGCGCTGGCCGAGTCCCTGGAGCACTGTCACCCTTCCTCCACCCGGGAGCGTCTTGCCCGGAGACCCCAGGGCTGCTGCTTCCCGTCTGGTGGCGCAGAGGGCTTGGGCCTTGTGGCTCTCAGCAGAAAGGGATGTGTCTGGAGTGTCCTGAGGGGATGGGAGAGGACCCTACAGTCCCTGCTGAGGGTGGGCTTGCGCCTGGGAGCGGGCAGCAGGGCTGGGGAGGGGAAGGGCTCAAAAAGCCCATGTTCTTGGAGTGTCTCAGAGCTCGGAGTCACCTGGAAATGAACTGGGGGGCCTGAGGCTGGGGCCCCTGACGGTTCCCCGGTTCCCAGATGCTGCGCTGTGCTCTCTCAGCCTGACCTCCTGGTTGGCGGCCAAGCCCTCAGACTGTGTCCCTGCGGCCAGACTCTGGCCTCTGTGTTCTGAGGGCAGGGCCCTGGGGGCCCTTGTTAATGCGCCGGGACCACGGTCTTGCGTGGGATCTCCCCGCAGGTCCGTAAGCCCATGGGTGATTTCAGAGGACAGTGGGGGACAATCGTGTGGCTCTGCAGGGTGGTCTGTGGGCTGATGGCCACCTGCTACATCCAGGAAAGTGGCCAGGCCACGCTGCCTCGCTGTCAGCTCTGCACCTGGACTGGACCCGCACGACGCATGTGGTACTCCTGCGGCTCTGGGCGCTCTCTCTGGTCTGCTGCAGCCCTGCCTCCTGGTCGGGGCCGCGGGCTCCCTTTCACTGCCTACTGGGCTCTGCCACCGCAGAGCTGCCCCTGTAGCTTTCCACGCTGGTGGGGCCGTGTCGCGCCCCTTCCCGGGGACCTCTTTTTTGCTTCTTGGCCTCCACCCCGTCCCAGGGCTGCTGCCCGTCGTGTGTCCTGAGTGGAGGATCGGCTGACAGCTGTGACCGTGCTGTGAGTGGGCGAGGAGAGAGAGATGGTAGCTCTCCTGTGTGCTCCTCGAGGACCTTCGGGGAGACCGTGCTGAAACACTTTAGTTTGACACAGGCCATGTGCACTCACTGGACAGCCAGAGTGGGAGCGGGGGCCACCCCGGCCGCACCTCAGTCCCTCCTCCTGGGACTTGAGGTGCACGCACACGCGTCTTGGTGCCGTTTTTAAGCCACCAGGTCCAGGGTAGCTCCGCTCTTGGCCATGACGTGAGACCCAAATGCTTTAACCTCCACACCGCTGGCCCTTAACTCAGCTGTCTCCCCCATTTTTGGACTTTGTTCCCTTTTATATTCTTTTTTAAAAATATTTTTATTGGTGAGATTTTTGCTATAGTGCACTTGTGCTCACTGGAGTGACAGAAAAAGACACAGAGACTTGGGACTTTGGGCACGCATGCACACGCATCTGGCATGAGTTTTTAAGCTGCCCGTTCTGGGACTCGAACTGTGGTTGACTGTGGGAGTCCAGTGACAAAACCATTACACCATCTGCTGGGCCCATCTAATAAATTTTAAGATTTATTATCAGTATTTTACAAATTTGCTACAGGACACGTGTGCTCACAGAGAATGGGAAAGCAAGCTTCCACGTATGGGACTCAGACTGTGGTCAGCCACGTGGGAGTCCAGCGCCCTACCACGCCACCCGCCGGTCCCACCCACAGCACTTACCTCCCTTCTGTCCCAGCCAGTCTGGTTTTGAGTGGTGTCTTGTATTACTTCCCCGAGAGGACGTAGAGCCCTCTTCCGTGTTCTCGACGAACACTCACGTGTCTCTGGAGAGACATCTGTTGAGACCCTCTGCCCGATTTTAGATCGGACGGTTTCTATCTCCTTTCTGAGTCGTCACGGTCCTTTGTGGGTTAAGAGCCGCGTCCCCAACTACAGGCAGATTTTGCAGGTACAGGAGCACGTCACCAGCAGAGAGACGGTTTGGAGCCTCCAGGTCTCGGCCCGCGGTGGAGAGCGGGCACCCCGCGCTCACTCAGCGCGATGCTGCCGGTGCATTTGTAGAGACCCCGTCACCTCAAGAGGTCCTCCTGTTCCCAGTCCGAATGTCTCTGTCACGAAAGGGTTAGGGTTTTCTTACTCTTCCTCTCCGCTGAGATCCTGTGTTTCTGTGGTTTTTTCTTTTAAGGATTTTGCTAGAGGGTGTGTGCACTCGCCAGAGAGGCAAAGTGGGGGAGCACCTTCCGGGGTGCTGACCACATCGCACCCCTGCTCCAGGCTCCTCCCCGGATTCTGGGCACATGTGCACACGCGCCCAGCGTGATTTTTTCAGACTGCAGCCGCGGAGGCCAGTGCCTTCACCACCACGCCCCCTGCTGGCCGGGTGCTGGCTTCTCCCCCTCCATGAGGGACCATGTGGGGATCTCGGTAGCAAACCAGCCTTGCATGCCTGCGAGGAGTCCCCCGGTCGCGACTTACCATCCTCCTGTTGGGCCGTGCGTGCCGTTTGCTGGTATTTTGTGGTGGCTCTCGGAGTCCGAGAGGGACGACTGGTCTGTATGTCCCTTGTTCTCAGTGAACCGAACGTCACGGTGACAGTAGTACCTGTAATCCTTCTGTTTACCTTGTATTTATTTATTTTTCAGAGGTTTTTGCCTTAGGGCGCGTGTACTCACCATGGAGAGAGACAGAGACAGAGGGAAAGTGAGACATCACCCCTCGGGGATGGCTACACCACAGTCCCTTCTCCTCCATTCTCCTGGGATCTTCGGCATGCACACGTGTCTGGTGTGATCTTGAAGCCACCGTGTCGAGGACTCAAACTGCACTTGGCCATGTAGTAGCCTAGTGACATAACCGCTGTGCCGTGTGCGAGTTCCGCCATTGGCCTTTTCACAGTTGGGGCGTGGTTAGCAGGTGGTGTGGTTAAGGTGCGCTGGCTCCCACGTGGCAGATCGCAGTTAGTGTCCTGGACCCCGTGGCTAGAAGCCACTCCTGGCTCAGTGCCTGCCTAGAATCTCAAGGGGAGGATGGAGAAGGGATTGCGTGTGGACACGCCTCCTGGGGCCTGATTTCTCACTCGTCATCTTGCTCGCTCTCCTGTGGAACGTGTGCAAAACCTAGGAAAAAAAAGTGTGGGTCCTGGTGTGGAGGGTGTTGTGGCCGGATCCCACGTCACTGACCACGCAGTTCAAGTCCCGGAGCAGGCAGCTCGAGGGTCGTGCCAGTCTTGTGTGCCCGTGTGCCCGGTGTCCCCCAGGGAGACCGGGGAGGGGGTTGCGCGTGGCCATCCCCGAGGGTGCTTGCTCATGCGACGTCCCCCACGGGCTCACGCGCCCTGTAGTACACATGCAAGTGGGGTGACTCCCTGGACCTCCCCTGGTCCCAGAGAGCGGCATGTCCCCGTGAGCAGCTGCTCCCGCGCCGTCCTCTGCCTCAGTCCGTGGGGACGACTGAGCACGTCCTGCCCTCCCGCCCCGCCCCTGCCTGCCCTGCCCCGCCCTGCGTGCTGTCCTGCCCTCCCGCCCCATCTCTCCCCTGCCCTGCTCCGCGTGCTGTCCCGTCCCTCCTCTGCCCTGCCCCGAGTGCTGTCCTGCCTTCCCGTCCCCGCCCCGCGCGCTGTCCCGCCCCGTCCCTCCCCTGCCCTGCCCCGCGTGCTGTCCCGTCCCTCCTCTGCCCTGCCCCGAGTGCTGTCCTGCCTTCCCGTCCCTCCCCTGCCCTGCCCGTGTGCTGTCCCGTCCCTCCCCTGCCCTGTCGCCCGTCCCCTGCCCTGCCCCGCGTGCTGTTCCGTCCCTCCCCTGCCCTGCCCCGAGTGCTGTCCTGCCTTCC